ACGTGCACACACACACACACACACACACACACACACACACACACACACACACAGAGAGGAATGTGTGTTATTATTTTGGAAATAGTGCATGAGAGAGACAAAGGCAGCAGAACTATCTGGTGTGTGCTTGTGAGTTGTGAGTTGTGAGTTGTGGCCCATTCAGAATTTGAGAATGCATACAAAGTATATGTCTTTCCCATATGTTTTGTTCATTTTATATATTTTTCATGGTGTATATTTGATGTAATGATAAATGACGTTGTGTCATCTCACTTAGCATAAAGACCCTCACTAAATGAATGCACTGTAAATTATTATTGTTGTTAATAATAATAATCAAAAATAATAATTTACAATGCTTTCATATTGTGAAGGTTTTTCTGTACTGGTAAATAATAATAATAATGACAACATTATTGTTGTGTGCATTATTAGTGCATTTTTATGGTTATATAGTAAATGTTATTAAATGTAATTGTTAAAATTATCGTTTTTTTTAAATCAATTGATTATTTTCAGAAGTTATGCAAAAATAAATGTTTTGGACATTTTGAGATTAAAAATTAAAAAATTAATTTTGATGGCTGAAATCTGAAAATATTTCAAATATGCCAATTCAGACAGTGAAAATATTCTTCCTTACATAGGCACAAGTAATAAAACAAGTAAGTTAATTAAGTAAAACGTTTGCTGGACAAATTGTTATGTACGAATAATAATAAAAAAAAGAATAATAACAATAATAATTTATTATTATTAATAATTATCACTTAGTGCAGAGAAAAACAATGCACTGTGAATTATTATTATTCTTTTTATTAACAACAACAACAATTCAAAGTGTCTCTCTAAGAGGTAAGAGAAAGTAAGGTGTGTGTGTGTGTGTGTTTCACCTGAGGGCTGTGGTCAAATCTCTCTGGCCTGTCCAGGTAAGGACACACCTCATCTGTCATGCGGGACACTTTAGCCCCGCCCTCTGTCAGCCACAGCAGTTTATTGGCAGTTCGTTCGTCCAGTGAAATATTGAGCCAGTCTGAGATAACAGAATCTGGTCAGTACTGATTTAACTAGTGTTTGATTCTTGTACATTTATTTTCCTATTTATGTATTTTACTTTTGTTTTTATTCTTGTAAAATTTGTGCTGCGTGTGTGACTCACAGTTAAGCAGCTCCTCTCTGGACGTCGGCTCTGGGATGTTCGGCTCGTAAACTGGAAGCTTTTCTGAAGATAGACAAATGTCAGTGTAGATTTAGATTCTGGTGTAATGCTAATGATAAACGTTGACTTTCCTTCCTGAAAGAAAGAAAGAAAAAAAAAAAAAAGAGTTTGATCATTAAATTCTCACACTGATCTCTGCTGCACTCCATTATGCAGCGCTCTGATTGTTGTTAGGATGACAAAAAGGTTTAAAGGGGTGGTTGATTGCGATTTCACTTTTTTAACGTTAGTTAGTGTGTAATGTTGCTGTTTGAGCATAAACAATATCTGCAAAGTTACGAAGCTGAAAGTTCAATGCAAACGGAGATATTGTCTTTTAAAATTCTGGCAGTTTAATGCCAAAAACGGCTGGTAGGGACTACAAGAAGTTACTTCCCGGGTTCGTGACATCACAAACCCAGATAAACCCCGCCCTCGGGAAAAGGCAGTAAAGGGGGCGAGGCCAAGCTGCTGCTTTAGAGAAGAGGAAGAGAAAACTAGGGGTGCACTTAAAAATCTATTCATATATGAATCGCGATTCTGTCTTCTAGCGATTCTAATGGATTCACAGGTTTCAAAATCAATGTTCAAAAGCAGCGGTTCTTAATACTGTCCATCGCGTCGCTTGCTCTGCACACACTCTGCATATCTCTCCCTCTCATTCAGATCATCAGCTCAGTTCTCGGTGTGAAATAAAGGTAAATTATGTGAAAAATAATGAGTTTTTTAAAAAACGAAGCATTAACACATGTTAGACTGCACCCCATAAACACAATCAAGCCTAGAAAAAAGCCAGTGAACCACCCCTTTAAATGTTACTACTCAACTTTTTTTTTTTTTTCAAATATGGACATAGAATTGAAAATGCGGTATCATTTATGTAATTCATGCAATTCCTAACTTGAATGTGACGAGACGTGAACACTTTGCGTTAAAATCAATGGTTACAGCATTGTTTGTGCCAATAGATTAACCTTATAAAAGGGGACATGACTTATCTTGTCAAGTTAAAGGGGGCATAACACACACAGTTTCACCCAATCTCATGTTAATCTTGAGTACCTAGAGTCATACTGTATCCTTCATATCTCCAAAAAGTCTTTAG